GAAATTTTCGAAGTATAAATACGCTTAAATGGGTCTAGATGTAGCATATCAGAAAGCCCATTAGAAGGAAAAGCCCGATATAAACTGCACATGAGCAGATCTGTCAAATTAAACCCTCTCAAAACCCTTTCGTCGTCGGCTCGAGGAAAGTTTCATTTGCATCTGCAATTCCTTCACTCCTCTTCTTGTTTACTTGATAGTAGAGATGCCGCTCGGAGAGAGAGGAGGTTGGGAAAGAAGCGAGTCCAGGTACTGCGGCGTTGAGACTGATTTCTCCGACGATGTTCCTTCTCTCCTCTCCTTCCACATATCCACCGGCGGCTTCGACTATGTCCTCGCTCCTCTGGTTTGCTTCTTCCTTCCTCCCAACTCTCATATCCTTTTCTGATATTACTCTAGAATTGGCGCTTCGCAATTTGTTGTCTCTAATGGAGTTTGTGATATGTTTGTTACGCAGATGAATCCGTCGTATAGGCCGAGCTTGGTGGAAGGAAACGGTTTGGATACTCAGGTTCTACCATTCTCTGGCTCTGACTTAGTATTGGCACCTTCTCAGTGGAGCAGTCATGTCGTTGGTATGTTTTTTCTCCCTGTGTTCTTTTGTGTTGGTTATGTATGAATGATGGGGTTTTTGATTTGTGGTAATTTTCATTTCTAGGAAAAATTAGTTCGTGGATTGACTTGGATTCTGAAGATGAGGTCTTGCGAATGGATTCAGAAACCACATTGAAGCAAGAAGTAGCTTGGGCTACACATCTCTCCTTACAGGTGCTTGTGAATCCATGGATTTAAGTTATGCCCTGTTGTTTCTTTTTTGCAAAGTGATTGCTTCTTTCAGTTCTTTTACTGCTTTAGATTGTGATGCTTGAGGAGGAGGAATTGTCTTGTTAATCTTTGTTATATGTTGCAGGCATGCCTTCTTCCTACACCTAAAGGGACTTCGTGCGCCAATTATGCCAGATGTGTAAACCAGATCTTACAAGGGCTGACTAACTTGCAGGTGGCTTACAAGTTTCTTGCTTTCGTGAAGATGAGCGTTTTCTTTACATGAGCATCTTCAATCAAGCTCTAACTATTTATTCCTTCTTTTGTTTTGTTTAAATGTCATTCTGCTTTGAAGTTATGGCTGAGGATTCCACTGGTGAAGTCTGATGGTGATTCAATGGATGCTACCTCAGAGGATCTGGTAAGACATAGTATCATAGTTGATGCAAACTTAAATTTGTTCTTACTTTTTGTGCCTTCTCAGATTTTTGAGGCTGCTTGTGTTCATAGGCCTTTTAAACCTATATATACAAGTGAACATCCATATATGTTCATGTTTTTTGTAGCCTTTTTTGTTATTTCATGATGAGTTTAATATATACCCGTTTCTATGCAGAATGATTCCTGGGAACTGTGGAATTCGTTCCGACTTCTTTGTGAGCATGACAGCAAGCTGTCTGTTGCTCTTGATGTTATGTGAGTTGAGAGAAACTCTTGATTAGTTTTTGTTAATGTGGACTCTTTATCCCCTCCACAAACATAACACCATTTCTTTATCTAGGAGTACGCTACCTTCTGAAACCTCACTAGGACGCTGGATGGGAGAATCTGTGAGAGCAGCCATAATAAGCACTGATGTAAGTGCCTCACCTTTTAACCACATAGTTAAAAAAAACTTGGTTTGAAGTCCTGTATTCACAAAATGCTTCTAATTTGATGTGCAGTCTTTCTTAACAAATGCTCGGGGTTATCCTTGCTTGTCAAAACGCCACCAAAAGCTATTAGCAGGATTTTTTGATCATGCTGTCCAGGTAGTAAATATCCCTGCCTTTGATATGTAGAACACTAAATTTAAATGCCAAGAATATGGCTCTTTATGTGATCATCTTTTTCTTGATTATTTGTCATTCTGTGATAAGAATCCTCTTTTGAACCAGAAAATAAATATCTATTTCTCATTTCCTAGGGCTCATTATCATCAATCTTTTAATGGCAGGTTGTAGTTTCTGGAAAGCCTGTTCATAATATTACAAAGGCTTCTGATTCGAACACTGACGGTAATGTTTCAATATGTTTCTCTGTCCGCTGACAGTTAGCTGTTATCCTCTGGGCTTGATTTCCCGTAGTTCAATTTATAATGGGCATCGTTTATAAGCATATCCGTTCCATGTTTAAGGTAAATAGTTTGTATATAACGTTGTCTTTTGACAAGTTCCCAAATGTTTTGGTTCTCAGATACGCAGAGGCATCCCCTGCGGTCATATTTGGACTATGTTGCTTATTTGTTCCAAAAAATGGAAGCACTTCCTGAACAAGAACGCATAGAGGTCGTTTGTTGGACCCTTTGTATCAGTTCTCTCTATTTTTTTATTTTTTATCACCAGAGATACGCGCAGGCATAACCAAGCTCAATTCTGACAGTTATCTTAT